TTTCACTTTTATTAAACGAACGAATATTTTCCTAAACATCCATGTAGTTGTATAACCAAAAACATGGTGTATGTTCCTTAGGTAAGAATCAAAGTCGACTGTTGACGATTTCGCAAAGCTTTAGGTACGATAGGTACACTCTTTTTTATAAGGATTTCAATTAGTCAGATAATGGATTGGTCGTCACCGTCTTACAACCTACGCCGTCCAATATTACTTATCAAGATAGGCGATGGTTCGGAGTACGTAATACACATCTCGCTGTCACTTCAGTCTTCTAAATATCGTAGCCTCATTATTTATTTTTTATTTACTTGAACACATAAATATTGGTACAAAGGGGCACCAAATATATATGCGCCACACAAAAGTGACGCGGTAAGTGCTAATAATAATAATAATGTGAATTGTTTGACTTTCAATCGAAGCGTAAATAGTATTTTCAGTGAATATCGTTATTTCATTGATTTGTGTGTGGGCTGTGATACTGCCCGGGTGCGCAGATCGAAGCAGGTGATTTTCTTAGAGGGCCACACCCCGAGCCTTTGACCTAAAGGTCTGATCCACAAGGCAGTGGAGCATTGTGAGGAGATGCGATCCCGTGGTAGCCGGTGACCAAAAATTGGTTCATACGCTATTTGTTCCCGCAGGATACTGAGCCCATGTGCATTATTGGTTTGGAATGGGGGTTTTCCAGCTTCCCTAGGTGGACTCTCCGTGTCCACCGGCCTGGTTAAAGCGCCGGACGTTCAGTTTTCATCCTCTCAATTTCGTAAACACTCATGGTGCGAGAAGACATTGAGTAGAAATTCCCTGGCAGAGTCTGTATACACATGGCCATGTGAGAGCATTTAGAGAGGGAGGGCGTACCCTACCCACTCTCGGCCATACCAGGGCATTTGAGGTCAAGTAACCTCATTAACCAATTTACTATACTTATACCTTACATTTAACTCTGCTATTCAACTATGTGCGAATCAATGCTTCAAAAATATCTTTGATCTAATACTAACAACCTAGGCATTTTCTCTTTTTTTTTTACAGTATACTCACCTATTTTATAATGAGACTAGTATAAACTATTTAGTTCTATTTACTTATTGATAAATTCAATTAATTCATTGTAATTTTCATATAGTTCATAAATTATGTTTTGTAACTGAATAAATTAATGTTTGTTTTATTCAATGGTAATAAATACAATTATTAAATGTTAATATATATCACCGTTTTTCCTAACTGAATAGTTCGTTTGTTTTTTTGTCGATAAAATAAATTCATCGATGTGTATATTGTTTATGCCGAAGTAAACTTTATTTATATCACCTCATTAAATTACTCATGTTTATTTGTTGTTTTGTTGTTTTGTTTTCACTGATTAAACATGTTCAACAATTAAATTGTCAGGTGAAAAAATCAGTTTGATAAATTTTTTATGCTCATTTTTTTCTCTCTCCAATGACTCAAATATCTGTATTCATATCAAAATTTATTACTTTCATTAAAAGATCTATTCAACTATTTGTCCATATTATGAATTCCCTTAAAATTGATGACGTATTTAAGTGTTATTTTTTGTAATATAGTTTTTATCCAAAACAAACCAAACATTTCATTCCATTTTGATCAAATTGATTAGTAAATTTGGTTAGTGACTAGCAAGGAGTCAGTCAGTTACAACGTAGGACCAGGCACATATATGCATCGGTCCAGGTTGCCATAACTCATTAGCACAGCAAGATGAACACCGGATTCATAGGAGTGGTTAGGTTAAAGGTGGTAATATATAGGAGAAACATTGCATATAAGGATACAGTACCGGAATATAGAATTAGTTCGTAGAAAGAAAGATATGAAGCGATTTTAATCTCTTAGTTTAAGGGAAGACACCGAGTGTATACACCGACGCCATTGTAATCGATTCTGAGCCATGTCACACAGAGTCTCCAACCATTGGTTACGAAAGTCATGCGGACCCCAACCAAGTACTCTGCATCTACCAACATGGCTCAGGCTAGAAGTTAGTGTCTTCAAGCACTGATGCCACGTTTCGGTTTGGCCGCCCCTAATTCTCTTCCAACCATCTCCAAAACCTGTTAGCATTGCACGTCGTGGTAATCGGTGTTCAGACATACGTAACACGTGGCTCAACCATCTCAGTCGATGAAGATTCATAACCTCATCAACTGATTTTCCATCCTTTCCTAATACCCTGCGTCTAACGTCACTATTACTTACCCGATTATCCCAGCAGACGCCAGCAATATTTCTAAGGCATCTGTGGTCAAATACTAATAGCTTACGAGTGTCTTCTACTCTTAATGGCCATGTTTCGCTGCCGTAAAGTAAGACAGAACGGACTGCCGCGCAGTATACTCGTCCTTTTATTGATAGACGGATATCTCGCCTTCGCCACAGGTGACGTAAGTTGGCAAAAGCCAAACGAGCTTTTCGAATCCGTGCTGAGATTTCGTCCGATACCAACCCATTAGGGCTGATCAGACTTCCAAGATAAGTGAAGTTGTCGACGCGTTCGACCACTTCACTCCCTATCCTTAGTTCAAGTGTTGACTCAGGCCAGTCCTGAAGCAACAACTTGCATTTAGAGGGAGAGAAGCGCATTCCAAACATCCTGGCATTGTTGCTTAGTGCTACCAAAAGACTCTGCATTTTATCAGCGTCTTCACCAAACAGGACTATGTCATCTGCGTATTCTAAGTCGATAAGTGGACCTCCTGGAAGGAGATCAATACCCGAGAATTCAGTCGACGAGAATGTTATTTCCATCAGTAGGTCTATGATGAAGTTAAACAGAAATGGAGAAAGTGGACAGCCTTGACGGACACCACTTGAGGTTGCAAAAGTAGATGGCAGTTCGCCATAAGCTCTGACTCGACTAGTAGTGTTCGAGTAAAGAGCCTTTACAAAGTTTATGTACTTCTGAGGTACGCCTTTCAATGACAGACACTGTCACAGAATCTCGCGGTCTACAGAGTCAAATGCTGCTTTTAAGTCAAGAAAAACCACCATTGTCGGATGCCGATAAGTATGTCTATGTTTTAGAACCTGACGAATGGTGAATATGTGGTCGATGCAGCCACGACCAGGTCTGAAGCCAGCTTGATTCTCTCGTGTTTGCAGTTCACGAGTCTTAGTTAGGCGTTTGATAATTGTCGAGGCTAGTATTTTAGATACTATATTTGTTAAACTAATCTCTCTGTGGTTGTCACAAGATGATTTTGATCCTTTCTTATATATTGGGACGATATATCGGGAACACGTGTTTCAACCTTCTTAGGGTTCATCGTTCGGATATACCTGCATTCTAATACTAATGTTCACACAGGAACTTGAGCTCGGTACCTTTCACTTTAACCCCCCCCCCCCCGACGCATTGTCCACTGAGCTTGATAGTACCTTGTTACAGTCGCAAGCGATATGAATTTTTCGTGTATTGGAGGTGACCGTCTAATTTTCATTAGGAATACGTTGATGGTCATCAATTAGCCTTTATTTCTATCAACGTACTTGTTTTCGTTCACTGGAAAAATCAGATTAATGCTAAAAACTTATTGTATTTGTATCAGCTTCACGTCCACCCAGGTTTGTTCTTGTTCAGAAATAAATGCATCATTCTAATCACATTAATCATTTTTGTTTACACTTATTGTTGTACGACTAATTATGAGCTTTTAAGCATGATCTTTTTTTATATATAACGCGTACTCGTCTATTATTTATGTTTGTTTATCTACTTCACTATCAAATATTTCGGATTGTTCATGTACATATTTAATAGTTTGTGATTCATTCACTATGTTTACACCATATTTATTGGTTTGGTATACTGTCTAGATTGCTTAAAATATCTTCTCATACGTTTCATACTGTAATTTCCATTTTGACACATTAGTAATCACCATAGCTATTATGTTCTAATTAGTTGGTTATATATGGAGAGTTATATAGAATAATTGCGCCAGTACCTAACTAAAGTGATAATCACGTCAAACTAACTCTTGGAATCAGTTTAGACTTACAAACTCCCCCATACTTTCTACCTTATTTAACATATTATAATGGAGCTTACTATGCACGTCTAATCCTCTGTGTTGTATGTCTTATGACCAAAGTAGGATATACATGCAACGTAGTCCCATTACACAGATACCCCGACAAAATGCAAGTCTTTTTAAACACATTGAGCTAATATGTAAGCTATAGCTTAAAAAACACTTAATATAATTAATCGTAAGGGTTAGTATGTTCGAGTTGTCAACATCCAAAAACTAAACTGATCTATCTTTTCGGCGTTTGTGCTCTTGGATCATATTCTTCACTACTAGCTACATTTAAAAGTCGAACAACTTTTGGCGATCATGACCCATTACTCTAATAAATATTGCTTTAGTGTTTGAAGAAATAACTTCTGGATTATCGCTTCAGAGAAAATATCGGTACTGTGTTATACGTAAACCGATACAAGGCATAATATGGATCCTGAATTCCACAGCTAGCCACCATCTGAAAACATAGTTAGAACCTTGGTGATGACATTCATTCAGCCGGCAAATAAAAAAATTAGCCAACAACATCAGTAACTTTAAAATTAAATAATTCGTAATCATGTATTTACTTCTTTTAAAGCTTTAATGTTTCTGAATATTGTAGTGTAAATTTATCTTCAAGCTCAAAAATTACAAACTGGGGTTGTTTTTAGCAGATCACCCAGATTCCATAATCTCATTGTTATGTTCTTAAAAATTATACCAATTAGACTTAGGGACCCTCACCTGCAAATATGTTTTGCGTACGATAAACATTTGCTACTTTTTTTAATTTTAATCGCCTAATTATGAGAATATTTTTTTAAAACTATGCGGTTATAGACAAACAGACTCTACGTAAGCATACTCAACTCTTCACTTTATCATTGTTTTTTGAATAATATTAATAAACAGTGAAAATAATCTTCACATTATATATGTTCCCATCTATAGATTACCCATCGATCCACCAAAATTAGTACGTAACCAAATTCTATTCAACGATTCAGTGGTTGTGTCAGTTTGTGATCCTATGTTGGATGAATTCGATAATGAAACTCGTGAAAGATCAACAGCTCTACGTCGTACAGCTAACCTGCAATCAAAGGAATTCGTATGTCATGTAACCTATAATTTACAGGTAAATTTTTTAGTCATTTAACTTTATTAATATGTTCACTAGAATATTAAACTCCATTGTCCAAACATGGCAGGAAAGTGTACGTAAGCCATTGTGGTAACGTGTTTTTAGCCTATGTTTCAATAGATAGTGAAGATACCTTTTTTTTAACAACCAATATTGATTTGTATATGTTTGTTCAGTTTGATGATTGCTATCTCAATCATCGATTGACATCAGAACTATTGGAAAATAGATAGTAATAAGCAAGTGTCTTGTGGCACTTAAAAACTTTTAAATATGAAACAAATGAATTGTCGAAAATCATATCCTTTACCACCTACCAATTAATTAAACCCTCATCTGTGACAAATGATTGAGTATTACATTATTTACTGTCTATTTATTAAAGTGATGATTCCTTATTGGTGAGTCCAATCCTTGTAAATTCACCAAATTTGTCAGTGTTCTTGATATAGACTTGGTAATGTGAAAATAATTACTTACGAGAACATGGAGAAGAAATCCATGGGCTATAATAATAATAATAATTATTATTATTATCTGGTCACAGGCCCCTTCGAGGTATTATCGCCGTATGTTGAGACTACCAAGTTAAGCTATGTTTAAGTTAGACTCAGGGTACTATCCAAAAAACTGCGAATTTTCATCAAATGTAGTAGTTGGGGTATGTTTTATGTATCCCAGATCTCCACGTACCTTGACGCCCAATGTCGGCTGGTGTCGGAGTAGGTTGGAAGAAAGCTAACGAGAACCAAACCAAGGCATGTCATTATTAGTCCATTATGTCATTAACTGTTGCACTGAGCTATGTTAGTAGCTAGTTAGGCTCTGTACAATTATCGTAACAACGGTTGAACACGTTAGATCCAATGGATCAAAATCAGATACAATTGTGTAGATGGTTTCACTTTTTGCCTTTCATTAGGAATTTTATTTTAAAATTACTTTATATCTCTTATTCAACGAATTTATTCTTTCTTTTCAAAATATATTCTCTTTACCTGCTTATATATATATATATATATATATATATATATATATATATATATATATATATATATATATATATATATATATATATATATATATATATATATATATGCCATTTCCACTAATTTTTATAACTTGTTCTCATTGTACTGAAATAATGGAACAAACTAGACTGATGTATATATGTGTGTCGAATTCTGTGTTTCTTACAAATGACTGAAGTTAAATAAAATCATTATATACAAAATTTCAGTTATATTATTATCTTAATTCATTCATACATACTTTTTCATAACGGGTAAAACATTGAACTCAATCACAATCAATTGATCAATTCCATGTGTGTCAAGTCCTTCTTCGTGCAGATCGAATGCTATCAACACGGAATTGAATCCGTCAAGGAACACCAGTTCCCTCAAGATTACAGGTACACCTTGCTAACGAGTGTCAAATAGCACGAAATTCACATCCAGGGTTTTCTGTTGACTACTACCTCCAACCACCATCTTGAACTTAATCTTTTCCTACTGTATAGATTTATTTTCAAAAGAAAAATAGAAATTTTACTGTTCAATTTTTAAATAAACAAATTTTGTTTTCTTTTTAGAATGAAAGTTTAGGAGAACAACTTATCAAAATGTTTAAAAAACAAATTGTTAATGTTTAAGAAGATCTTTAAGAATATTGTACAAAGTATTTCATTATTATTGAATAATGATTCTGATGAATTACATCTTTATCCAATTAAAAATATATAAAGCTTAAAAGGAAATTATGTTAATTGTTTTTATAAAATTTCAAATATACATAAAATGTAGTCAATATTAAATCTTTTAAGAATATTGGGATGTATGCTACTTACACTGACAGATATAAGTAGTAGATAGCATTAATCGGAAGTAGAATTGTACTGAACAGAACACGGGTGGGGACAACCGAATGTATTTAGCACACAATTACAGAGTTACTTAGTAAAATAGAAAAGCCATATAGAAAATCGTTAATTTGCAAAATATCAATCCATCATATCAACTTGGACTGTTCCTGTTGCAAACATCAATCCATTGTCTCAAATTTCATTGTTCATGCGTTTTCTTACAAATTGCATTGTGTTCCCGCTCTTCCTTTCTTGATCTTCCCGTCATCTTCTGCTGCTAGACATTACGTTTTTGACTCGCGTCATATACTACTTATATCAATATAAGTAGTATACACTACTGAATACCTGACGATGAAAGACTGAAATGAAAAGAACAGAGAAAAAATTGTAATAATAACAGAATTTGAAAGAATCATGAAGCATATGTAAAAGGTAATTGAAGAAAAATGCGCAAATAATGTATGATTTTCATATTTTTACCAAAGCACTCTGTAAGTTTTCGTTCCATTTATATACAATCTATACAAATTCTTATCAGCTATTTATTTAATAATAATGAGAATGTTCTATTAACTTTTCAAGAAGTCATACACTCTTTTGAAATGATAAAAATGTGTTTCTTTGAATAATAAAAAAAAGAGCTAAATGGATATTCTAGTGCTTATAATCCATATGATTTCCTCGACAATATCTATGAATACTTTTATCAATAGTGAAAATTTCATTTGGATAATAATAATAATCTTTAAATAACTCATCGTTAAAGTATAAGTGAATACAAATATCTATGAATTTTACATTATTACACTTTGAAAATATTTCAGATTTCTTTCTGGAGACTGAAAAAGATACTGTTTTTTTACTTGGTTCATTACTTACCTTTTCACAAGGACTAACTTTCTTTTAAAGAGAGCAAGAACAAAGGTTGTCGCAGAATAATATGAATTCATTTTATTTCGTTAAGTTCTCATCAGTTGCTTACAACCTAAATTATTTGAAATTCAAAGTTATTATAGATATTGACATACTTTATTCAACAGAGGGTGATCAAGGATGAATATATGTAACATGATGTAGCAATGATTCCGTTAGAGTTATTGAGGTCATAAAATTTTATGTTTCGAATATATAGAGTTTGGGAAGGAAGGTTCCAGAATAAAACTGATAGTCTCGATAAGTAGTGAGGAGCTACTCAAGGTCATATGAAGCTGCAAATTTATTATATACATTCTCTCCATGTTTAATACTAACGAATTGGAAGGTGTCATGCAGCGAATACATGAATATATGCTTTATTGCGAACTGCAGAGAATCAGCTATTTCCCCTTAGAGTGGTAAAGAGATCCAGACATGTATATAAGTGGGCCAAGAAATAGCTCAAAGTTTTGCACTTTGGATAAACCATGCAAAGATGATGAAATCACGCTACCCTTGACAGACTACTAGTTACTTTGTAAATGACTGTCAGTCTAGCTTGGTAAAATGATTCGCGTTCTGTTACTGAGCTTCTTGTAAGTCCACTGCTGTTATGATATTGTGGTACTAACTAGTGCATTTCGTTCGCCAATCAGATGTTTTTTCATTCTCTTGAAAACCTCAGTAAGTTGTTTTTCGACCAATTTATCGTTGTTTATCTCGTCGACAACTTTAGAAAGCTTCTTAGTAGGACTCATTTTTCGTTCATCAAAAATATCCCTTTAGAGCTTGTTATTAATAGTTTTCAAGCACTTCCAAACAGTTTGAGTTGTGTTTCTGTGTTCTCATATTATCAGATATCGAACCATTGGGGTTGTTTCATGATATCGATTGTATCAAAGAAAATGTTTTTCAGGATAGAAACTAAAGTTAGCTTTTTACTCTGATTAACTGAATTTTTGAAATTGTAAATTTGATGACATGGTTGGTTGTATGGTTTTCAAGGTAGAATTTCGTGCCCTCAGATGTAAAGCCTGTAAGGATACTAATGAACTTTTGGATATACATTTTTCAGGATTGTTTGGAAATCTATGATGGCGCTTTATAGATTTGGGTCTTTCACAAAAATTCGAATGAATATATTTATTAAGTTTTCCAGTACTTTTTTTAACACAATCATTAGATAATTAATATTTATTCAGTGATTATTCATACAATACAAGAAGTCGTGTTATGTTTTCAAGTGATTGAACGAGTGGAAACAATACTATTCCTTGTATGATACTCAGGTATATATGAGTTCTACTTAGTAATGTATGAGATATTCATAATTCCTTAATTCACCAATTCAGATAAATGTCTCAGTTATTCCAATAGAATAATGTTAAAACCTGTTAGGTTCGTTTTTTTTTGTACTTACATCTGTTAAGTAAACAAAAAAACATCCATTAATAGAAAGATAATTCAGTAAGCAGGGTTTTTTTTCTGACAGATCATCCATTGTAGTTTTCTTTTTGATGTATTCGTCATTTATCTTAATACCTTACATATTATTATTATTATTATTACACAATAGTATTATGATCCTTACTATTACGTGATAAAGATAATTACAAAGTAATATTTAGTTATCCTTGATTAAAACCTATTTATATAAACCTATCTATAAGCAACATTTAATCTTTCATAAATTGTAATTATCATGAAATCTTACGATGATCAGTAGTTTTAATTAAATTAACATCATTACTGTTATAATAACTATGTAAACTGGATTTTTTTTCTTCTTCTATTCTGTCTATTATTCCGAAAAAAAAAACAAAACGTGACTTGGACATATTGTACAAAAATAGAATAATTCGACTAATTTTTAAATTACTGTTCATGTATTTGACCTCAACTTGTTCGATAATACTATTGTTCAATATATGTTGCATAAGTTTCAATGAGAAAGAATTACATATGCATGCACCAAATATATATATATATATATATATATATATATATATATATATATATATATATATATATATATATATATTAGAAACCATTAGGAATCTAAAATCCTTTAGGGTCAGTGTCACCCAAGAATCAATACAGTCATTTCATTCTAAACAAAATGTAAGAAAATATCAAAAGAGAAGACAAATCCGATACTATTTATAGAATAAATTGCACAAATTACGAAAATTATTATATTGGATAAAATGAACATTCCATCCAACCTTCTCATTCATCAACATAGATTAGAAGTGAGGCGAAATTAATATACTATCACTGATATCATTACACTTGAATCACCATAGATGTGAATTCGATTGGCGAAGCATCGGAATTATGGATTCAATAAGCTGTATAAGTACTAGAGAATCTCTGGTAGTATGGTATTTAGGTCAATTAGTAATCAATATACACACTGACATAGATCTAAACTACAGCCTATACAGAAAAGGTCAGTCGATAGTAGTCAGAATGCATCCGAAAAAGGCTACCTCTCACAGAAAGCCATCAGAAAAAAAGTGATGTAACATTTGTGAAATAATTGTAAAGCTCATTTCTATACAAAGTTAAGGACGCTATCATCCAGACCTACAATGAAGAATCAGCTATTTATTCATTTAGCTCAGAGCACACAAAACCATTCATCTGAGGTGCAAATCATCTTCACTATTCCATGTGCATATATATATATAAGGATTTGGGATCAGTTCTTCATGGTGCTCATCAGTAAGATTTTTTTTCAATCTATCCGAAATAATTACTTGAATTATTCAGAATAGTTGCCAGATACTCCTTTATAATTTTGATATACAGGTTCTGAATATGATAAGCGTTGTCAGATTTGCTATAACACTGAATCTATATACCAAGAGACCTGATTTTAAAAAAATCTACAGAATTGAGAGTAATATTTATAAATAAGCTTTACATTTAAATATATGAAATCACTACTGATCAAATAGCTAAAAATCAATGAACCATATTATAAACATACAATTTATGAGGAGACTGGAAGTATACGTGATATCAGTCTCGCAATGATTATTAACAATACAATAGTACTAAACATATGCATTACTTATTCGGTCATTTTTGATAATCAATATTGAAAGAAATCAAAGTGATAATTCATATTTAAATATGATAAGAAATACAGTTTAAAAAATATTACTATTCAATTAGTTACTTATCATAGTTCCATATCAATCCATTTATGATGTACACTAATAATCAAATATTCATAATGAAACAAATCGATTGAATCATGTAAAAGAAAGAAGATCTTTCAGTGGAAGAGATTTTCATTTCACAACAATGTTATTCTCTTTAGTTATAACAATTTCATGAATAAGTAATTTTATATGAGACTATTTATGTTAATATGGAAAAGTGTTACTTTATTAAACAAATGTATCATCAAATGTTATTCGTCATCTATTTACTACAAAATTGTTTGATATTGTATAGTTTAATCAAAAGAATTCAAGTATTGAATATAACAGTCTATGAATAGTAGGAAGTTATTTCATTTAGTTGATCTAATAGTTTTAAAGTTAATAAGAAATAACAATTTATAAAGCATAACTAACTGTCTATATTTACAAAGAAGAATGAGAAAAATTACATTATTATTAACACTTACAAATTGTAAGAAACTAAAACTGTTAAGATTATAGACAAATAATGGGTTGAATGTGTCTATTTTGTTTATAGAGGTTAGGTTTGAACTAGTGAAGTGCTATAGCTTCATTTATGTATAAGTTTCTGATCCGAACCTTCTTAGAATCAGTTCATTTGACCTTGTAGGTAACATTGAGAGATAGTTTTCTCTGTGGCACATGACTGGATTTGACTGTATATATGAGGGTTGAACTGTTAATTGATTTTCATTCGTTTTTAAATAGTCATGTATAATAGTACTCTGATATATATTTAACGAGTCCACGCTTCTTAACCACAATATAACCTGCTCCACAAGAATAATAAAATTAATAAATGTACACGGAGATAACTCAAAGAGGCAGTTTATCCTCGACACTCCCCTAAATGAGATTTTAAA